TTAAATTGATTTAAACAGCTAATCATACGAAAGTCTTCCTATGGAGGTGGACCTGAATCACTTCGATTAGATAATTCCGAGAACTACATTACTATTCAATATGGTTATTCTTATTTGAAATTGTTAAATATTTTTTAGAATGGATGGCATTTTTTACCAAGAAGTAAGGAAGGGCCTGAGGTTGATGTTTTAGTTATTGCAGGTAAGATTTTGAACTAATTAATCAGAAACGTTTCATTTAATCACCAAATAATTTTGTACGGAGCAATTTATAATATGCTTTACTAAATTTTAGCAACAAAATAGACCTGAAATTATAGATTCAGCACTTTTAAGACCTGGCAGATTGGATCAACATATTTATATTTCACCGCAGAATTTTGAGGTTTATATTTCTTGTTTGTTTATATACAATCTTGATCATTGTAGTCACATTATTATTTTATTTAGCAACGAAGTTCTATATTAAAAGGCAAGTTACGAAAATGCCAACAACTGTAATGAATAATCAAATACCGTGTTTAGTTCAAGATACTGATGGATTTTCAGGTATTAGCTTAAATTTGTATCTTTCGTACTAAGTTTTGTCCAATCATTTTATTTTTATTTACATTAAGATGCCGATTTAGATAATCTGTGTAGAGAAGTATATTTTGTAATAGATTACTTATGATCATTTTTGTTTAAGCAAAATCATACAAAACTTCGTTACTAGATTATAATAGTTTTGTTATAAATAATGTTTATTGCTAAAAAAATTTAATTACCTTTTCAAAAATATAATTTAGTTTGGATAATTACTACATCGTTAACCTTGTACCGTTTAGATATATTGAAATAACAATCAAAATCAATGTTTATAACATTATGATTTAAAGCAAACGCTACTTTCAGCTGTAGTGCATAGCGTAGTGTTTGTAGAATAGAAAACATATTCGATATTAAACTTTTGATGTATGGTCTAAGTCAGTGTTGTCACGTCTACTATGCCCAAGACTGTTTCTACCCATGTTAACGTCCAAACGTCCACAGGGTTCACAATTGCCCCAAGAATATTTAGACTTTAAAATTAATAAATTAGTTTAAAAAAATATGATTATATATTTTTTATAGCTCTGAATATTTTTACTTAAAAGATTAAAATAGGTTATCTTAATAAAATTTTGAGTAATTTAGATTTGTTGTTTTGTTCAAAATTGTTCACAATTGCCCGCAATTTGTCCAGAGCTGTTCCATGGCAACACTAGTCTAAATTATCGAAAACTTGCAACACAAAAAACCTTTTATTTCGATACATAATACAAGTGCGTTATAGTAAAAACCATGACTATAATACGCGACGTATAAATAATAACATTTTTTAATTTTAAATTTAATTCAAAACTACTCAATGTTTTATTAAAATAATACTTAAATCATGTAAAATACGTATTCAAAAAATCCGTACGTACAAGAAATCAGAAAACCGAGTGCTAATGTAAGGGATTCTGGCGCGGGTGGGTATTGTGGCGCACCTATGTTTTTTGATGATATCTTGCGATACACTGATCAGAATCGAACAAATTTAGTACCATTCGATTCGTTTTACTGAGCCGAATCGAATGATACAAAAATTAATCAATTCTGATCAAGACTTGAGGAAAGCTGGGTATTATGGTGTAGTTATTATGCTTTTTTCTCTTTTTCCTCTTTGGGGCAGTTGCAGGAAGAGATCAGAAAAATATCAAATATAAAAAAGGATATCTTAACGCAATACGCATAGTGCGCTCCCAACTAAAAAACATCACTTTTTAGATAGATTTTGGAAGTTTCAAATATCAAGTTTTTTTTTTAAATATAAACTTTTTTCTTTAATTATTAGATAGAAAATCGTATGGTATTTTATTTCGATAAATTTTGTGTTTTTTAAAAAATTTTGCTATTAGCAATCCTTAAGTGCGCCATAATACCCGACCCTCCCTTAAGTGCGATCTTAAATAAACTAACTTCAATTTTACGTTAAAAGATTTTTAAAAAAAAACTCAAGAAACGCTGATACATAATATTATATTTAAACATCTATTGCGCAGATAGAGATTTTTGAAAAAATTTTTATTTATCTTTTTAAAAATCGTTGTATGTAAAATAGATTTATTTTTTTTAAGAAAAACTCATCTAAATATCGTTTTAAAAAATATATATACCGGTAATCTTTGTTAAAGACCTGCGCAACCAGGCCGAAACTACAAAGTTTAAAAATAAAGATATAATTAGACATGCTAAACTTTTTAAAAACATAGTTAATTTTATTCGTGTACCATGCAAGCAAGTTATTTATCAAACCTATGTGGGCTGTTCTTTAAAAAAATGCATTTTTTTAATAGTTTATTGTTATTAGGGTCAGGCTTGTAATTATAGTTAAGGTTAGTGCAATTTTAAACTTGCCGGTAATAGTTTGCTTGGTGATCTGCACACGATATCAGTATCAAAAAAGTATATAAATTTTTGGAGTACATCTAGGAGTATCAAAAAAGTAAGTGCAGGAGTCTCAAAAACGTAAATTTTTACTGTCCCTATGTTACTGTCCATAGATCTCCCGCTCTGTTACACACGTTTGTTTATTTTTTTTAAAAAACCTTTTGAGCTTAACTAGCTTAACTACCAAACTAATTCTTTTACTTAAAGAACAAATACCGTTATCATAGAATTTATAACATAAAAATCAAATTTTCGCAAAACTTTTTTTTGTTAATTTGTCCCTTTTCTTTGCACCCAAGCCCATATTAGACACGTAATACGTAGGTTGTGAGATCTTCAAATTTTGTTTTCCAATCTTAATTTCGTTTGCTCTTAAAGGTGTGTATACTGTACTTTCAGGCTATGCGCTTTTGACTTCTCATTTCGATACGATCAAGACCGGTCTTCTATTTTGGTGCACCGTGGAGCTGCGTTCCTTTAACGGCCCTGGCAGATAGTTTCTCTTACTATTCCTTCTTTATAACAATTTGAGGATAACCAACACAAGTTGTTTTCGATATTCGTGGTTTCTTGCTCTAAGAAAATTGAGTATGTGTGGGTTGGTTAAGAACTTGATATTTTTTGGATAAGAATTTTGTAATTATAGTTATTTTTAAATCATTTTTGGTATATACGCTTAGAAATTAGTTTTTTCTGACATTTTTATATTCTAGAGATGCCCCGTAAGTCCAAGAATCAGTCTGTCCAATATCAACTTCAAGACAAAAACAAATTAAAACATATGAATGAACTCGAGGAAAAGCAATTAATTATTCGATATTGAAATGGTTCGTAATCAATTGACACTTGAACCAGAGTCTAATAAGATGAAGGCAAAAATTGCACAGTTAAAAATAGAGTTAGAAATTTAAAAAAGGAGGATTGAGGAATTACAAAAGGAATAAAGATTTTTGTGAAATTTAAAAAAGAAGGATTGAGGAATTACAAAAGAAATAAAGATTCTTGTGAAATTTAAAAAAGGAGGATTGAGGAATTACAAAAGGAATAAAGATTCTTGTGAATTTAAAAAAGGAGGATTGAGGAATTACAAAAGGAATAAAGATTCTTGTAAAATTTTATAAATAATTTTTAATAAAATCTGCCGTTACA